CACTGCGGCATGAGCTAGCAAGGGAGCGAGGAGAGCGAAAGTAAGGAGCGTTCGAGACATTGAAGCTAGAAGAGCGAGAGACACGGAGAGTGAAGTGGGTTCTTCGCCCTTACTGACCAGAGTACACCTAGCCTTTAAGTACTCGTTCCAAAGGCTGCATACCAATATAGCGGCCCGCCAATTATCCCCAAATGCTGGCTAAGAAAATTGATGAGTGTATATAGATACGGGTTGTCATGAGACAGGCTGGAGAAAACTCTGGAGTAATAGCCTGGACATATCTGATGTCGCCGAGGGGGCGATGGGGAGCGGAGGGGAGAAGCATGGCCAATCACAAGAGCTCACAACTTGGTTCCACACATATTTTTTAGCGGTTGCTACTGGTTCTGCGAGGGGCTCAGGGACGAAAAAGGTGAGAGCGGTGGGTACAATCGGGGAAGCCACGGTTCATTGCACCTCTATGTGCCTACAAGCCCCCGCGGAGGCTTCCCTTCCCGACCAGTCCTCCCGTTCGAATACAACGGGATCGCAGGGCCTTGGGCGGTCCGGACTTGGATCATATCACTCGCGGATAATAAGCACAGAAGGAGTTTACCTGCGGCTTGCTCGAATTCATCGGCTATGGTGAAACGTATACACACTCAGTGTAGTCCGTGTAGACAGCTATTTACACAAGATACCACGGCTAAAATGCGGCAGCGTAGTATACCTCTTCCACCCTGACTACTCTCCGGCCCCTTTCCAGTTCTTACTCACTTGGGGCCGAGGGAGCCATTTAATGAGATAGATCAAGGGATCCAGCAATTTTTTACTTTGATTCTTTGTATCCCCTTCCATACCGGTTACAAGTGGGCCGCTAACTTCGCGACTACATAGACGCACGACTAAATGTTGAAGCGATTCTTAGTGATGCATCTATTTGGACCAGCTGATTAGGAGGGACCCAGGATGAACGGCAGCTACGGCTCGATGCCAGCCGTGTTGCCGCTTGTATTTCTATTGTTCAGGAGAAGTAGTCATAGACTCCCTCGGTCGACTTCCAATTACCTTGAATCCGACCTCAAACTTGCGAAGGTAGTCTCTCTCAGTAAATGAAACGCGGCCTATCGACATACGCCTGCTCTCCCAGCAACCCCTGGTCTCGTTCAGATTGTGACGAGCGCTCAGCGCGTGTGCGGCGGTCCACCGTCACAGGCACACTCACCCATATGGCCTTCTAGGTCTACCAATCAGCGTAGATGTCACTCCTACACTTGCGAGTCCGTGGCCTCAGACAATCCCATTTCGGCGCGTAGCCAAACGACGATCACCACATTGCAGTGCGTCATATGACAGTTTATATTCCAGTTATGTAATTTCAGGATGCGTTTTAGGTTGAACCCCCCGACGCCGAAACGTTGTCCGCTTCGTCGCAGTGTAAGACAACGTCCTTCTAACCAGCCAACAGTCCTGGGTACCCGACTCGGCGCGACCTCACTTTATTGTCTATTTCTTTGAGTATGATGTCGCCCAAAATGACCAGTTGACAGTTGCATTTTGATGGACGGTCGGTCTTCGCTAGCCCTGATTCTTCACTTACCAACCTGGGGCGGATTGGATACATCATAGTCACCCTTTCCAGACCATGAGCTCTTTTAAGGGCGACTCTTCAAAGTCGATGTCGAGTCTCCCAAATAGACTCTCAGCATTGTCTCGTTACTCCCCTGCCTACGATATTGGAGCTGTGTAATGAATAATCGCCAAGCTCTGAAAGAATATGCCGAAAGACAAAGGGTTGACATCGAGGCCGATATATTGGAGAGCGGTCCTGAACATGACAGGAGGTTTATATGCACTTGGCGTATGAGGAGGCAGAGGATCGATGATGGCTGGGCATCAATTACTGGTGAACCAGCCACATCTAAGGATGGTGCGCGAGAATTGGCAGCAGGACAGGCGCTCAGAGTTCTGCAAAGCTGGTTCCGAAGAGCTGGTACGAAAAGACTTCCCCTTGCGTTTGAGCAAAAGGCTAACATATAAAAGCACTGTAGGCTAACGTTACTACTCACCTCAAGTCCGTGAACATGACGAGTCCCGTGTTCCTCATTCCGAAGTTGCCGAAGCGATACTCAGCTCCCGACTCGCCTACGTCTCCCTTCGCTCTCTCCCCTGTAATTAGTCATCTTCATACATCCTATACAGCCTTGCACATACCGCCCCACCCCACCCCGCCCTCTCCCAGTCTCACCTCAATAGATTCCTTAATGTCGCAATTCGTTTATTCACCTTGTTGGGACTATGAGTTGAGTGACAACAGTCTATCGCAAACGGCAGTGAAAAGCTGCTCCATGGTCAGATCCTCTGCCGGTAGGACAAGTAATCGAGGTACGGGTTGGCCGCATCGAGACAACTCGTCTTTGGACTCGCTGGCTTGCATTTCTCCTTGAGTGATGTTCTGCTCGGGCACTTTTATTTTCATCGCTTTATCCGATACGGTAGCAGTTTGTTCGTCATCAACCAAGGCCGCACTTCCGTGATCAATGTCGCCTCCTTCAAAGATTCGCTCGTGCGCTTTGAGATATGCAGGCCAAACAATGTCATCCCAATACCCAGGCGGGTCTCGCCAGAATGAGCCCTCTGGCGAGAATTGAACTGTGAGCAGTGGATTGAGACGAGCCCAACGAATAAAGACAAAGGCGAGTAGAAAACAGGGAGATAAGATAACGTGAAAGTGGTAGCTCACCTGCTGTATGATACCCGAATCGCCTTTCGCGTCGAGCCTTGAGAGTGGGATACGAAACTCTTAAGAATATTCTGGTATCGAGCGCTTGTATTACTCCCTACATACAGGGTGAGCATATAGCAGCAACGAATCACCTGTGTACATACTGGGTGCCAGTAGAGAAGAAATCCATCGACTAGTCCCCACACAAGCTCTACGCCACTGCTATTTCTGACCGAATCCTGCATCTCTTGGAAACGAGAACGCCACTGATCTAAAACGTCTTGTGGGATAGGCATTGGATCCTGGATAACATTGGGATAAACTACAATTAACACAGGGAAGGAAAGTTCATACTTGTTTATTCAGGCCATCGTGACTTTTGTGATCTTCAGGAAGGATACCAGTCTCTTTCACTCGACGGAGAAAGGTAACCATCCGAGGCCAGTCAATCGCACCTTCAGGGTCATCCCAGTCCTGAACGTTGTGTATAGGATGGATCGGGACTAATTCTTCTGGCTACGTTCATCAAGAAAGGTCGTATATGTGTGCGTAAGGTAGCACGGCCGGCGCACTTACCGGTGCAAAATCCTACATGTAAGATGAGTGATGCATTCTTAGTCATGGTGTAATGGTACCAACGTCTTGGTGAATAATAACGCTTCCAGGAAGGACGGATCGCAGGTGTTTCGCAAGGGTCGTTTTTCCGGAGCAAGTCGCACCACTGAAAGGCGATTGGGATAAGGATTGTATCAGCGAGCCTTTAGTGAGATTCTCAAAGAACCGAGACTGACCCCACGCCAATGAATATTACTTTCTTTGAGAGGTTAGATTGAGAAGGGCTGTATCCGTTCATCTAAAGCTTCAGGTTGTACTGCCGACTAAGAAAACTGAGGGTCCTATCGCTAGTAAAGACGATGGAGACTGATCGGTCAAGTATATATGCAAATTGCGACGAGTAGATATAGAAAATAAAGTAGGCCAGTTGGTCTGGATTGTCCTTTGTCAGGGGAATACGAGGTGGTCAGGTCCGAGTTACAATCTAGGCGAATCAAGATTGAAAAAGAAAATAGGGACCGTTGGGAATCGAACCTCAAATCACGCTGGGAGATTACAAAGTAAGGATAACAGCGCACTCTACCATTAAGCTACAGTCCCTTTGAGGTTTAAAATCTCAGGCTAGGTAGTTTTGGGCTCTCCTCTCTCAAACTAATAAAAAGGGAAACTGGGACCGTTGGGAGTCGAACCTCAAATCGCGCTGGAAGGTAAGCATTTGGATAACAGCGCACTCTACCATTAAGCTACAGCCCCTTCCAAAGTTGAACAACCGTAGGGTTATCCATATTCAGAGTTGGATAGTCACCTCAAGATGCTAAGAGTTGTGATTTTGCATATCATATTGCATGTCCTATGTCAATTGCACGAGCTAAATAGTCTCTATACCACTCAAGCCTCTATGCGGCGAACTTGACTCCTTTTTCAATATTCTTCTTAAGCTCCGGGAGAGCCGCCTTGACAAGCTCCTCTTCTGCTGGTGATAGCTCGCCAAGTCCATGAATCTTCTCAACACCGTTTGGCTGTGGGATATTCTGCTAAGTAATGAAAGGCGTAACGATTGGAAGAAAACTCACCCCAAGCTCAACATTGCTTGAGAAAAAGGAGACGCCTTCGCTCTCATACAAGGGACTCTTGACAAAGCTCGGAACGACGATACCCTTCTCACCCTTCAGAGCGCGCAAGACGCTATTCGTGAACTTCGCGGCAGCAAAGGCCATACTCAACGTAGCACTTCCCGCACCGTCCTTTGCCTTGACGACTTCGTCACCACCGTACTGGATCCTGTTCACGAGCTTTTCGTATTTCTCCTTTTCACCAAGGATGCTCTTGGCTTGGGGCGTTTGGCTGAGCAGAGGGACAATGGTCACGCCAGAGTGGCCACCAACAACAGTGACATGTGTGTCCTTGGGATCGGTACCGACGATAGAAGAGAGGAAGCGAGAAGCACGGACGACATCGAGAGTAGTTACACCGAACAAGCGTGCAGGATCGAAAGTTCCAGCTTTCTCCAGAGTAGAGGCAACAATAGGAACAGTGCTGTTGACAGG